GGGGGGGGGGGCTTATAGTTGCGAGTTTACAGTATTTACCCATGTAACTTACTGTATACCAGGCAGGAGCCTAGTATATACATTCATGAACTTGTAGTTAGAGCTTGCTCAGAGCAATGCACCAGAATGGTAGGACAGCAGGTATAATTCCTGCCAGAGACCTAAAATTGAATTTTTCGCTTCTGTTATAACTATACAATGTATGTCTAATAAATGTAGGTGGAAATTGTATACCGGTACTCAATAATCAATACTCACTGAATATTATTCATTCAAGTGAGATGCCACAAAATTCTTTATATACATGGCAGTACCCTAATATATACATACATGAACTTGTGGTTAGAGCTTGGCAACTGGCCTCTGTAACTCAGTTGGTCAGAGAACTGCACTGGAATCACAGGGCCACAGGTTTAGCTCCTTACCCATAATATGACGGTACCCTAGTATACGCATTCATAAACTTGTGGTTAGAGCTTGACAAATGGCCTCTTTAGCTCAGAGCACTGCATCGGAGTCGCAGGCCTGCAGGTTCAATTCCTGCAGGGACTTAAAGTTGCATTTTTTGCTTCTTTTCCTGGTTACTAAGGTCTTCGGGAATAAATCTACTGTATATAAATCACTTGACATCCTACAATACCCATCATTCAAATAATATTCACTTAAGTGAGATGCCACAAAATCTTTATATTTACCCATAACTTATACTTGGATATATATGTATATACATTCATGAACTTGTGGTTAGAGCTCAATACTGGCTTCTGTAGCTAAGTTTATTAGAGCGCTGCAACAGAATCATATATACTTTTGGATTGTAAAATCATCTGGCGTTAGAGATAGTAAAGCAGAGGACATTAGTGCGCAATGCAACTTGGTAAATCAAAATAAGAGGCTGTTAGATGTCTTAGATGTATTCAATTTTGGAACTGTGACATTGTGATTCAATATGTGACCTAGCTTGTTCACCTTGACATTAAGGAGAGACTGGTATCGTATTATGTTATATGTTTCAGTTGATAAGTTTAGTTTTAATGTATACTCATTAATAACTATCCGGCCGGCTTGAACCATTGACATGCGGTTTGGTCTGACGAATTTGTCGACAGTGGTTGATTTCGTGGTGTTTTAAATTAAATTTTAGCTATCCTATGGACATTGCTTTAAATTATAACTAAAGCACTAACATAAAACGGCGTTTTATAAAATAACACTGCATTGGTTGTTGGGGGCGAATGAATGAATTCTGTGAGATTTTCCCTTTCATAAGCGGTCACACACAGTCACAATGCAGCTGGCAAATCGTGATGCTATTAAAATATTGTAATAATAAAACGTAAGGTAAACAAAAATGCAACCAAACAACTTGCAGCCAAATGACAATACAGCAAACTGTATTAAAGTCAATATAAACATGATGCATAGGCTCAACATACCTTAACTCCATATATTATAGCGTTCTCGTTGTATTAAAAATCCTGTTCAGCGATAGTCCGTCTCTAATGCTACAAAACTCGATTATCCATGGATCTTCCCAAGGCCTTTGAAAGCCAGTTTGGATCCAAAACAGTTTCTATACCCTCTTTATATCGATTAAGGTATGTTCAACTAACGACGTGTCGCTTTTCAGATGACAAATTCTTCCCAAAACATATATTTTTTATAAGTTTCGACAATGGGTTTATATGGAAGACTAATCTGTATATCAGCCTGTGAGGGTTCTCATATTACCAACGGCAAAGTGTCATTCAAATAAAATTTACTTTTAACACTAATCGACAGATGAGCCAATAACCGACGAGATGCCAATAAACGCAGTGTTCTGATTGGCACACAGTGAATTTGGAAGCTTGCCAGTGTTGCGTGGGTTTCATCTAAAGCACAGAACCTAAAGCTCTATCCCTAAAGTCTAAAGCCAATCTTCAGCGACAGTGCAATTTTCGTTATTGCTGATTCCTGATTTCGTTTGGCAAACGGTTTGTAACTTATATTCGAAGAGACAGCTTCAAACGATAACGCTAGAAGTCGTGCACATGTGACATGCTTTAGAGTGTCTGGCGGCTGGCGGTAATGCCGTATAATATGCCAACAACATGGATTCGCAACGTTCAATTAGTGCAATTACCAATTACAGAAGCCAGACGGTAAGTTTTCAAATATATTGTTGCTTCTAGAACCTTGTAACGAGCTTTCGTTGAGTATCGAGCAAAGCCCCTTCGTCTGGACTATAGCAACTGAGGCCGTGTTTACACTATGACGTTTCGGCTGACACTGCGTTAAAAATTTGCTACGTTTCTATTAATTATCGAGACTATATTGTGTTTACACTATAATGTTATTAATGCAGTGGCTTGCACTTTGCCGTAGCGTGCTGACCATCACGTTTGGCACTCGGTATGCAATCACTACGTATTGTAAATTTGCCGCGGCGTCATAGTGTAAACTCGGCCTGCTTATAACTCCAGACAAGGAGCCTTCGCTTGAAACGGCGAAATTCTCCTTATATTATGCTTGCTTGTGTATCAGTGTTTCCACTTACAAAGATTTTTTCCCTGTAGCAAGGAAATATTGGTCCTTGCAAGGAATTTACAAGGAAATAAAATTTACAAGGAAAAATACAAAAATTAATTAAAGGAAATTGCAAGGATTGCTGTAACTTATACCAGTTACAAGTCTAAAACCACTTAATTAAACCATGATATTTGCTGTTTTGGTGTAATGTACTCAGGTGAATAAGATGCTTGTAATGTTACTCTGAGTGTGTATCCACACCGGATAGGCTTGAAAAATACACCTGGCCAGGCTTGAAAATACACCTGGCCACGGTGGGAATCGAACCTCCAACCTTTGGAATACTAGCCCAAATTGCTCTGCCAACTGAGGGCCTGTTTATATGATCCCGCCTAGACGGGACGGGACGTTTTCATCCCGCCTAGACAGGATACTCGCCTAGTGTTTATATGGACAAAATACATTGCCGGGTGAAGTGTTTATATGGAATTTCTCGTCCCGGCTAGGCGGGATGAAGTGTTTATATGGGAATTTTTCATCTCGCTCACGCGGGATCCCGGTATCTGTTCCCGAGATCCCGTCTAGGTGGGATAAGTGGCGGGATCATATAAACACTCTTTAGAATTTGTATTACGAGCGGGATCTCGGTAAGCATCCCATCTCGCCTGGCCGGGATCATATTATAAACTGGCCCTGAGCTACGCGGTCAGGTCGGTTCGAGCATGGCATTTTTTCAAGCCTGCCCAGTGTGGATAATTATACACTCAGAGTAGCATCACAAGCATCTTATTCACCTGAATACATTATGCCAACACAGCAAATATCATGATTATTACAGTACATTACATTGATATCGAAGGAAGTAGACTCAGTTTCGAAATATCACATACTCTATAACTCTAACCAACCTGACCGCGTAGCTCAGTTGGCAGAGCATTGGGCTAGTATTCCAAATGTTGTTGGTTCGATTCCCACCGTAGCCAGACATATTTTTCAAGCCTGCCCGGTGTGGATATACACTAAGAGTAACATCACAAGCATCGTATTCATCAGAGTACATTACACCAACACATCAAATATCATGATTATAAGTTAGATTACATTGATATCCAAGGAACTAGACTCAGTTCCGAAATATCACATACTCGAACCGACTTGACCATGTAGCTTAGGGGCCGATTAGATGGGTGAGTTGTCCCGGCTAAGCGAGTTGACTCGCTTTACCTAGTTGACCCACTTCCTATAAGTATTGTCTATTATTTTGACATTTCGATTACATGCAAAGTGAGTTGTCCCGCCTTGCCGAGACTGCGGCTGTAGCTTGCTGAGTCAACTTGCCTAGCCGGGACAGAAATTGCCCACACATCCCATGTAATCGCTTTTTGCTGAGTTGGCTTGGCAAACCGGGCTGAAAACCATGCTTATGCATGTTTTAATTTCGATTATATGTACAGTACAAATATAAGTTTTAAAAAACTTCAAATAACATCAAAATGATATTTTGAACGTTTTCAAGGTTTAGATAGGAAACAAACAGTATAAGCCTGTATATAGTGTTAGAATACAAACAGTATAAGCCTGTTGTGATTAGCGCTAAGTATAAATACCTCAACCAACAACATTCAGTGGGTAAAGTAGTCCTCAAATACATTAACAAATACACCATTTTTTAAAGATTTCTAACACCGAGTGATAAATTGTTAAGCATTACAAATCTTAATGAGCTACTTCAACCCGGCTAGCCGGGTTAGCGCGGGGCATGTAATCGCAATTCAAAAGTCAACTAAGTGGCTTAGCCGGGACAACTTGGCAAAACGGGAAAACTCAGCCCATGTAATTAGCCCCTCAGTTGGCAGAGCATCCATTGGCTAGTATTCCAAAAGGTATTCCAATTGACACCCTTAGAGTGCTTGTCGACAAACACTTGCCATTAAAGAACAACACCAACATCAGATCATGCATTCTAGGTCTATCATTGGTCATATTTTCTCGAGAGAGCATTATTATCACTGACTTTACAATATTAAAAATAAATATCAAGAGACAAACTAAAATTAATTTCTCTTATTTTTAGACCTGGTGATCAAAAAACCTTTCCCATTTTGTTAGAACGGTGAGTGAATGCAAGAATGAAGCAACAAATCGTTGATGAAGCAACAAATCACTATGGTATGGTCTAAACGCGGCTTAAAGTTTCGCATGCACGCATCCATACCTTGTTTATTTGTGTTCGAATGACTTTTTTTAACTTGGTCTGGACGTGCCATGCCAACAATGGCATTGTATATTTATGTTCCAATGAACTTTTAAAATTGGCGTGGACGCGTCCATGCCATTAAAAATTTATGTTCCAATTACTTTTTTAACTTGGCGTGGACATGTACATGCCATTGTATATTTGTGTTCAAATGACTTTTTTAACTTGGCGTGGACGCGTCCACGCCATACATAAATATACAATGGCATGGATTCGACATGCCATTGGAAGTTTATGTTCCAATTACTTTTTTAACTTGGCGTGGACGTGTCCATGCCATTGTATATTTGTGTTTGAATGACTTTTTTAACTTGGCGTGGACGTGTCCATGCCATACATCAATATACAATGGCATGGGTTTGTCCATGCCATTGGAAATTTATGTTCCAATTACTTTTATAACTTGGCGTGGACGTGTCCATGCCATTGTATATTTGTGTTCGAATGACTTTTTTAACTTGGCGTGGACGTGTCCATGCCATACATAAATATACAATGGCATGGATTCGACATGCCATTGGAAGTTTATGTTTCAATTACTTTTTTAACTTGGCGTGGACGTGTCCATGCCATTGTATATTTGTGTTCGAATGACTTTTTTAACTTGGCGTGGACGTGTCCATGCCATACATAAATATACAATGGCATGGATTCGCATGCCATTGGAAGTTTATGTTCCAATTACTTTTTTAACTTGGCGTGGACGTGTCCATGCCATTGTATATTTTTGTTCGAATAACTTTTTTAACTTGGGGTGGACGTGTCCATGCCATACATCAATATACAATGGCATGGGTTTGTCCATGCCATTGGAAATTTATGTTCCAATTACTTTTTTAACTTGGCGTGGACGTGTCCATGCCATTGTATATTTGTGTTTGAATGAATTTTTTTAACTTGGTGTGGACGTGTCCATGCCATACATAAATATACAATGGCATGGATTCGCATGCCATTGGAAATTTATGTTCCAATTACTTTTTTAACTTGGCGTGGACGTGTCCATGCCATTGTATGTTTGTGTTCGAATGACTTTTTTAGCTTGGCGTAGACGAGTCCACGCCAAGTTAAATAAATTTTAAAAAATTAATTGGAACATAAAATGGGAAAAAATTTTTTTGAATGTTCACTTTAGTCGTATGTATCGGGGAATTTTTTTACTTCCTCCCGCTTCCGCAGCTCGCCAACATTTTTGGGAAAATATAGGGGCCCAGAAGTAAAAATTTGCTCCGGCCCCCGAATTTCTCGGTTTGGCCCTGCATGTGGGTCGTGTTTCTGTCCTCGACTCATGGGCGTATGGGCCTAGTTTTGCTTGAGGGGGCACAGCATAGTAATAGTTTGGCCGAACAGGCAAACTGAACATTAATATTTCTCCCCAAAATTGTTGGCCGGCGGGGGGCGGGAGGTCACCAAAAAATTTTTTCCGGACATACCAAAAAAATTTTTCCGGACACATCTACAAACATTCTACAACAGTTTCCGGACATACCAAGTATTTTCTACAACCATGAGAATATTTTGGTGGACATACCAGAAAATTTTTCCTAACATCGCGTAATTTACGCAAAGATACAAAATTTTTTTAGGATATATAAAAATTTTTCCGAAATTTTAATGTTTTGGCCGAATTTCGCATTGATTTTTGCCCGACCGTAAAAATGGGTGGGGGTGGGGGGGATTAAGTTCGTCTTTTGAAATGAAACAATGTTATACTCGATCAATCCACGAAATTAATAAACAGCGAATTAAATTTGTGTTCATAAAAATAGGGTATGAAACAAGTATGAGGACTAGGTTGTAAAAGTTTTGCAGTGCATTACAAGAATCTTGAATGAGTTCAAAAACTTCATAATATTTCTTTGAGCAAAAATGGAAAACAGCTACTCTTTCATATCCAATGGCTCAGTCCAGTGCTGCAGTAAAAATTTAGGTGCATTAATTGCTGGTCTTTTTAATAGAATATACTATCTATTTACTAGAATATTATCGATTTCAGGCGACTTTTCAAGGCGCGGATTTCACGTTTACTGGAATACAACCTCCAACCGGATATTCAAAGCGAAGCTTCAAATTTCCGTTTGGAGATATGCGAAGAGCAATGAGAATTAACCTTTCTTATGATGACGAATATCCGCCAGTTTTGGGTGGAATCTAATTCTCGTTAACCAATGCTGAAAATTTAAAAATTGTGAAAAGCAATTTTCAAAATAAATTAACCATTTACAAAGCAAATTTACCATTATTCGTCAAAAAAATTATCTCGCAGACTTCGGCTGAACAGCCATCCAAAAATGGAGGCGTAAGACAGGCTAATTCGTCAACATGAATACACATTCTTGAAAACCGGATTTTAAAATAAAAAACAAACATATTTAAAAACTTTTTATTAATGCATTTATTCAGTTAAAACCCCTAGTAGACTTTCCTTTTTTTTCCTTATTGAAACGGTATGCTCGCTCCCTAATCTGGTCTCGCGAGAGAATCGTAAAGCAATAAAAAATAGAAGCAGTTTATCTCAATTTGCGTTCCAGTTATATTCATTTTCACTAGAATATTCCCGATTGTGTTTCTAAAAAATCCTAATATTGGGCGGGGTACTTGTAAAACGAACTTCTCAAGTTACTTTCTAAAGCACTGAAATACTAAACTAAAGTACCCAAGTACTCGACATAAACTTGTAATATAATTAAGTAAGCAACATGCAAAACTGGATTTGCTGAATATTCGAAGTTTAGAATCATAACTAGGAATATTCACACCAAAAATTGGGAACCTCGTTTTGAAAGGTGACCTGAAACCGATAATAAATAAATATCCCCACAGTATATAGCATAGACAGTTGCGGATCTCATATCTTCTCAAGAGGCCACATTTGCGTGCATCATTGTGAACAAAAGGACAATCACTGCAGTTTAAATAAATACCTCTATTTCAGTTGGTTTGAAATTACGACTACCAGCTAAAAGAGAAGTAGCTTCTGCCGTGCCAGGGGGTGGTTGATAGGAGTGACCAAGGTTGCTGTAGGATCCTTGATTGCCATTAGCGTTATTACTAATATGGAGATCGTGACCTCCTCCAAAGGTTGGACCATAATTTGGATTATGATAGATAGCACTGTGCTCGCGGCCAGGTGTCAGGTTTGCAATGAATGGAGCAAGATTTTCCTTATTTCGCAGAGAAAACAGAAATGACAACTTGGAATGTGTCCAACCATGATTACCTATAGGACACAAAACAATAGAATATTTTAAGGATGATATTATAATTTATTGAAAATTAACTTGGAACTCGAGACTAGAAATAAGCAATAATTATATGCGTTTTAGTAATGTAAAAAAGTATTGTTTTTAATAATGAACCGATATCCATATCGGTGAATGGGATATAGCAATACTACCCTGCTGGCAGTGGTTTCTGAGCTGAGGAGAAACCACTGCGAGCAAACGATTTCAAAGTATTTAAAAACTCTCTTTATTCTTATGGTGGTGCATGCACCTGAATCCTAGGGAAGCACATTTCACTTGTGGTGGAGAGCTTACAATTGCATTTTTTCAAAGTTGCTGCGGTCTAATATCGCATAAGAAATAAGCATTTTCAGTTCGGTACTACCAAGACTGGTACAGACAGTTTTACTATATATATCGTATAAGACAATCTCGAATGTTCAATACCAGTGCATTTAGCAATGATAACAAAAAGCAACGACGCTTCGAGCGATTTAAGGCCTTTCGTCGAGGGAAGGGGCTTGGATAATAATTTCTCGACCAATATCTTTGTTCGAAACGTTAAAATTCTGGTATTCGATACTCTTTTTACAGTTTTGAAACAAATGGACGTGTAGCAGTACACAAATTGCGAGTTTTAACCCAGGGTTATAGCACTAATCCAGTTTTCAGCAACCGACACAAATAATTTCCATATATGTTTGATCTGGGAAATAGGCATATTTGAATTAGCTGTTAATATGAAACGAAACTTACCTGCCCAATTTTGGTCAGTGTATCCACCAAATATAAAATGATTAACTTTGATAAGGACTACTGTTGGTCCTTTGTTGTCACAGTGTCGGTGAAAATCTTGGGCAGCCCAACCATCACGTGATGCTCGGTAACACAGTTTCCATTTACACTTGTCTCCCAACCATTGTTGCATTTGTTTGATGAAGGCAATCTCTCCTTTAAGAATACTGGACGATTTGGCCAGTTTTGTCCCTATAAATAGGACAAAAGATTCACCGTTAGATTTATAGTAGACATGTATGACGGAAATGCATATTGTAGGGATCTTCTTTCCGCATTAATGTTGGACGATCTGCCGTTAGTTCCTTTAAAGAAAATGCAGATAAAGAGATGTATGACGAGAAATGCGATAGAGATACGCAACAATACCGGTACCATAGCAAGATTGGGTACATGTATCTTATGTATGATAAAGGTTTATAATGATGATACTTGATAAAAAAGTGATCCTATATATACAAGCAGAAAAGTTAACTTTATTGTAATATTAGTATTGACTTCCATACGGGTTTAGATATAGAAAGTTATCAGTCTGCAATTCAATGAAGCACTATATTTTGTATTCTATGAAGGTAGCTAGATCATGCACTCGTGTCCTCATTCTGACAACTATACTAGCAATGCGTCTTATTCTACAGTTGCACTTCTCTTTGTAGTGCAATTAATTGTGTGTTTGAATATATCGAGGCAATCCAGACGATATTGCTTCAACGACAAGGAATAAACTGCATTAATTATTATACATTAAATTCTTGTAGACTGATTTATATCAAAATTATCCACTAGCTGACGGACACTGGGCCTCGTGTTTTACATACTTCTCTCGTATTCTCCCAACATTCCACATCATGGAAAGCAGCACGAGTAGTCCCAGTATTCAAAAAAGGCCAGCGAACCATGCTTGACAATTACAGACCAATTTCAATATTATTATTATTATTATTAATGGTTTATTATAAAAATCGTCGCGCTCGATGAAAGCGAATTGCGAAATTATTTACAAACTTTAGTTAAAAGTGTTAAAAAGTACCTTGTGTTACTGGCATTATATTACAACAATAGTTTACTCATCTATGAATTAATATCGAAAGAACTTTTAAATTTACAAAATTTACAAAATTTATAAATTATGTGATTGAATACACATAGTAGGAAAAAAGCTTTTCTTAAAGCGCTCCGTCTTACAAGGAAACAGTGTTAATCTATTTCCGTACCTTAAATTACAATTGTGTCCATTGGCCCGAGAAGGTGGTATTAAATGATTAAGGCGTGAATCAGGCTGTCTGATTTTGTCAAACGTTTTTATGCACAAACCATCACGTCTTGCGCGTAATGTCGAACATTTAGCTTGGCCCAGAGCAGCGTCATAGCTTAATGCGGGGTAGATTATTCGCATTGTGCGCTTCTGGATCCGTTCAATTTTATCTGACAAGTTAATGGTCAATGATGAATGCCATACCGGACAGCAGTACTCAAGCAG